ATTAATAAAAAATTTGATATATTAAGTCGTGGATTTTAAATATGAAAAAATATTAAAATTTTTTACCTGGACAACTTTGGAAGAATCGATAGAATGATGATGATAATAAAATATTATTACGCTTTAATGATTATATTATATAAAAATACATAATTTTTTATTGTATATTATTATTATTATTATTTAATAAAGTGTTATCATCGGTATTGATTAACGCGCACACGCACACGCACACACACACGAATGAAAATTAATAGATGAAAATTCTTTTGTTGTTAAAATTTTTTTTTTTTTGTTGTTATCATTAATCATATCACGAAATTTTTTTTTTCAACGTAATTTGTTAACTGAACAACAACAACAATAATAATAATAATGTTAAAATTCAATTTTGAAAAAAAAAAAAATTTGTTTATATTCTCGTTCCACGTTTTTTTTTTTTTTTTGTTTAATTTTCTCTGTTTTAAAAATTTTATTATTATATATCATTTATTATTATTTTTTCTTTCTTTCTCTCTCTTATTTACCCACACGTCGTACGATTCCTTCGGGAGAGGATAGGGAGGGAGGGGAGAAAGAGGGGATTTATAATAAATATTAAAATACATATATGTATAAAAAAAAAAACCAAAAATAGAATTTTATTTGCGTTCGGTTAAATAAAACCCTAAAAACCATGAAAATTTACTTTTATCACATTCGTATAGTAATTTATCAATTCTTGAAACCTTTTCACACAAAACCTTTTTCATTCTCTCTCTCTCACTCTATCTCTCTCTCTCTCTTTTTTCGTAACGTGGAAAAACTTTTTATGAAAACTTTACATGGGCAAACAAGTTTTTAACTTTTTTTTTTTTATTTGTTGAAAAACTTCCGGGGTTACATAATAATACATGTTTCTTTTCTTGTAAAAAAAAAAAATAAATTTCATATTTTTTCCTTCCTTCCTTCCTTCCTCACCTCCCTGCCTCCCCATCTCCCCAACCTTCCCTCCCTCCCCCTCTCTCTCCACAGCCGAAAATTTCCAACAGGGTTTAAAAAAAAAAAATCCCCAAAAATAAAATTTACAAAAACGGATTTTATGCAAATTTTACTCGATCCCAAAAAAAAAAAAAAAAAAAAAAAAACAGTAAAAGGTTAAAGTGCAAAGGGGGTCAAAGGTAAAAAAATTTAAATAAATAATTTTTGCACCTGTTAAATAATAATAATAATAATAATAAACTTTTTTATTATTTTTCTATTATCGAGTTTTTAAAAAAAATCGATAAATATTATTTTTATTATTATTATCATTAAATTTTTTATTTTTTAAATGGGAGGAAAAACAAGGGAAGGGAAGGCGGAAGGGGGAAAAAAAGGGGAGACGTGGGATACGTGGGAAGGTTGGATTTTTTTTTTTTTTTATTTTTTTTACGTGATATAAATAAATGATAAAATTATAAATATCATGAGGACGATGGTGGTGGTGGTGGTGATAATGATGATGATAATGATGATGATGATGATGATGATGATGACGAGGACGTGCACGACATAATCATCACATAATCATCATCATCATCATATTTTTTTTATGTTAATGTTTTTTTTTTTATAAAATAATTTTAAACCGTCGTAGATTTAATTAATAGGTTACATAATTTATTAATTTTTTTTTGGCAAAAAAAAGAAAATTAACATAATTAATTATTAATTTTTTTTTTTTTGTTTCTTGTCAATTAATTATAATTCGGTGGTTTAATGGAAAAGAAAAACCGATGAAAACCGCAAAACCGTCGGAAAATTTTTTTTTTTTTTTGCGGTTATGAATTTATGAATTTAATAATGATAATAATAATGATGATAATCTTTTGACGTAAACGTATAAAACCAAAAAAACGATTTGAAATTTTTTTTTTTTTGCTTATTTTTAAAAATCCTACCGCCGCCACTGAAAACAAAAAAAAAACGTCTCGTAAAATAGATTTTTATTTATTTATTTTCTTTTAAATTTATATTATAAAACCGATAGTTTTCTTTTTTTCGTAGTTTTTCATTGTCGGATTTTTAAATTTTCTCCTGCCACGACAAAAACTTTTTCTCTTTCTTTCTCTCTCACACTTTTTTCGGTCATTTTCAAGTTTTTATTTACTTTTTTTTAGAGTTTCTTCGACCGCTACGTTTTATCGAATTAAACTTTTTTGCGTGTGCGTGTGTGCGTGTATGCGTGTGTTCGTTTGTTATGTTTTTGACGCGACGGAGAATTGAAAATGTCGTAAAAAAAGAATTAATAGGAGGAAGTTACTTTCTTTTTTTTCTCCCAATCAACTCAATAGAGAGGAAAAACAAAAAAAAGAAAATTTTTATATAAAAACGTTAAAGTTTTATTGTTTGTATATTTTTTAATAATAAAACAAAACAATTTTTTTTTTGTTTAAACATATTTAATAATAATTTTCTTAGAAAAAAAGGAAAAATATGAAAAAAATACATAAAAAAAAAAATTTATGAAAATATTGTGACGTAATTTAAAGAAAAAAAAATGGAATTTTCACAACAGAACAAATTTGTTTAAAAAAAAAAAACAATTTAGTTTTAGTCGGTTTGATAGAAAAATTGATGAAAATTCTATCAACTAATTTTTTCTTCTCGTATGTATATAAACAAAATAGTTTTGGTTTTTAAAACATTTATTATAAAAAAGGAAAAAAGGAAAAACTTGATTAATAACACGTAAAACTCCCCCCAAAAAAAAAAAAAAATTTCAAATTATTTACTCTTCTTTTTTTTTGGGGGATAAAATAAATAAATAAAAAATTGGTTTAAGTCGTTGTTTACCATCCATGTTAAAGCTAAAACTAAAACTAACCGATGGTGGTTGTTTGATTAAAAAATTTTCTTTAAATTTTCCTTTTTTTTCCCAAATAAAAATTTTCTTTTTTTTTTGTTCTTCTTAATTTGGTCTTTAAACTTCTTTTTTTTTTTGTAAAGTAAAAACGATGGCAGAATAACATAACCAATTGAAACTAATTGATTTTAGTTTTTTTTTCTTCTCTCTCTCTCTCTCTTACTCTTTCCATCTGTCTTTCTCTTTTTCTTTCATTAACCTCAAATCCAAAATTTATTTTTGACATGTTACAGTAAAAAAAAAAAAAAAAGTTTTTTTTACTTGTTTTTTTTTCTTTTTTTTTTCTTACTTAACTAATCCAACGACATTTTCTTTTTTTTTTTTTTAATTATTATTATTATTATTATTATTATTTCAACATTCGAGAATGTTATGAAGTAAAAAAGAAGAAAAAAATCCAATAAAACAAAAACTTGAAGCGTAAAAATGTTTTTAAATGTTTTTTTATACACAAACGTAAATGAAAACATTTTTTTTTTTGTAAAATTACTTTTTACGAATGTACATAAAAATTTTTTTCTTTTTCTTCTTTTTCTTCTGCTTCTTCCTTTTTTTTTTTTTTTAAAGCGAAATAATAAATTATTAAAACGGTTTTTTTTTTAAAAAAAAATTCGTACGCGAATAAATAAATAAATAAATAAAATTTAAAAAGAACAACAATGATGATAATTTTAACGAATTTTTTTTTTCCGTCGTTTATAATCGTTTTTAATAATAATAATAATAATAATAATAATAATAATAATAATAATAATAATAATAATAATAATAATAATATAAAATTAAGGACTTTTTTTTTTGCCTCGTCACTTTCCGGTAAACAAAGTTAAAAAAAAAAAAAAAGAAAAAGTGTCGAAATGGCGTCAAAAGAAAGAAAGAAAGAAAAAGGGGGGAAAAAAATTATTTCATTTTTTCTCTTTTTCCATCATCATCATCATCATTTTTTTTTTAATTCAAAAAAATTTTTTTTTTTTTTTTACAATTTTAATCCCGCTTCAATTAATTATTCTTAAACGAAATTTCCTTCAACCTCCATCCCTTTACCTTCCTTTCACCACCACCTCCTTCCCTCCTTCTTCCTCCTTCTTCCCGCATCCACACACCGCCTTCTTTAAATAAAATCGTAGCTTTTTTGTTTGTTTCTTTTTTTTTTTTTTTAAGTGTCACGAACGACGTCGGTTAAAAATTAACGAAAAACGTGTCGCTCCTCCCTCCCTCCTTCTTCTTTCCTTCCTTTTTTTAAATGACGCGGGTAAAATAAAAAATTCGGTGACGACCTTTAACCTTAATCCCCCTTCTAACCCTCCCAATATCATTTCGATCCTTAGTAATGGCGTAAAAAAAAAAGAAAAATTTTTCATTCTTTTCACTTTTTTTTTATTAATTCCGTCATTCATTTACATAAAACAAACAAAATAATATATTATACATATACATTATTATGATAATGATGATGATAAATAATACGTGACGTCATAAAACAAAAAAAAAGTCGTTAAAGTAATTATAACGAATTTTTTTTTTTTTTTTTTGTTAACGAGTATTATTTAAAATAAATGAAAAATTGTAACAAACTCTTGTCATCTATATTAATATTAATATTATTATTATTATTATTATTATTATTATATATTATTATTATTATTATCATCATCATCATCAAAAAAATTTATTTTATAAAATTTAACAACATGCGACGCATGGATTATTTTTAGCCGCAAAAAAAAAAAGAAAAACATTCGAACCACCGCCATCGCCACCGCCACCTCTTAATTGTCATAGAGTGTGAAAACGCGTTTAACTCTTTACACATTTATATGTGGGTATATAAAACACTAATGAGAGAATTTATTTACCATAGAATATTTAAAATAGAATTTTTAAAACGTTATTTTTGTGATTATATAACCGTTAAAATAAATTTTTTTTATTAATTCCATTCCCGTCTCTTCCGTCATTATTTTTATCATTATTAATATTATTTTTTTTTTTTTTTTAGTTATGCCAAGGGATGATAAGATTCGAATCTGATTAAAAATCACAAATCGTTGTATCGTGAGACATTAATTCCGGGGGATAAAAAGGGAAGAAGGGAAGGAAAAAAAAGAAAAAAATGTCGAGTCAAGGAAATACGTTGAGTGCATGTAACGGAGGAGCAACGGGTTTGCTTAAAGATATACAAAGACGTCTTTCAAATTCTGGAATATTACCCGTTTTCAAACCGGAAGTAACGAATTTGAGTTATGAAAATTCACTTTCCGTACCATCGAATAAACCAATGAAATTAAAAAATGTCGCGACTGGATCCGAAAGTTACGACAGCCTTCATAATTCGAGCATTCACGTAAGTTTTATTATTATTATTATTATTAATAATTTTTTATTGTCTTTCTTTCTTTATTTCTTTTTCTAATCGAAACTTTCTTTTTTATTTTTTAATTGACATATATATATATTTAATTATTTTATTAAAAATAAAATAGTTTATCCAGTTTAGAACTGGATAAAAATAATAAAAAAGTCTGGAATTCGAATAACGTTCCATAAAAGAAAAAATTAAAACATAAATATTTTAATTAATCAATTTATTTTACATAAACCAGGTGTTTCTCTCTCTCTCTTTTTTATTAATATTGTTATTTAAAAGAAAAAAAAAAGATTATTAATCAACTAAAAATCATTTTTTCCTTCTCTCTCTCTCTCTCTTTTTTGTTCGTTTAAATTAATTTGTTCTAGATTTTTCTCTTCGTTTTTTTTATTCCGGTAATTAAAAATCGGTAAATAATAAAAAATTATTATTATTATTATTATTATTATTATTACTTGTCGCGTTGAACGTTATTAAAATGACATAAAAAAAGAAATTTTTATTTATTTTTTTATTTTATTTTATTTTAATTTTTTTGGTCAAGGTAAAAAATTTAAATGTTTAGATAAAAACAAAATGGCGGACGATAATTTTTTTAAAAAATAAATAAAAGAAATCACTGTTGCAAATAATGAATTTAATGAATTCTTAAAGTAAAAAAAAAAATAAAAAAATTTATGTTTTAAACAGTCGGATTATAGTTTTACCTTAAGGGTAAATAATAATAATAATGATAATGATAATAAACTTAAAAAGTCAACAAGTTAAAAAAAAGATAAGAACGTTCTGGAAAAAAAAACGGAAAAACTTGACTTTTTTTTTTTTTGGACTTGGAAATAAAAATAAAAAAAAATTATTAATTAGTGAGAAAGGTATTGAACCTACCTGATATTGCATAAAAATATTTAAAACAAATTAACCTTCTCGTTTATTATTATTATTATTATTACCATTTAAACGCATAAATTTTATGGATTTGACGTCATTTCCGACCACGCATAAAATGACTTAAAAACAATTTTTTTTTATTTATTTTTAAATTGTTTTAAAAAAAAAAATTATACGACGACGTTTATTTCTTTTTTTTTTTTTTCTCGCACAAAATTTTACGATGATAATAATGATGATATTAATAATATTAAATGTGATGCAATTACGATGAATGAATGAATGGATGGATGGAGGGAAACATTTTTGTCGGATTTCATTTGATAAAATAAACTTTTTAAATAAAATGGCATCGATCAATCTTAAAATTTAAGTAATTTCGATTGACCGATAGACAGACAGATAAACAATCATAAATTTTAACAAATATTGACATTTTCTTGATGAATCTTTTGTGATCTTAAGAAAATCATAAAACGAATCACGATGATGATGATGATGATGCTGTGACCCTTCACCTCCACCTATTTCGTCATTTCGTCATTTTCATTTTGTTTTTTTTTACCCTTCATTCCTCCTTCCTTCCTTCCTTCCTTCCTTCCTTCCTTCCTTCCTCTCTTCCGGTTTGTAAACGTTTTGAAAATAATCCATCCGGTTTTTCCTCCCTCGGAAAATCTACAACATTAAATTGAAATATTAATTTAACACGAAAAAAAAAAAAAACAATTTTTAAAATGGAATTAAACATTTTTTTACCCAACCGTCGCCATATTTTTTTTTTTTTTTAATATTTATTATAAATAAATAAAATTATTTTATTTTTATTTTTAATTTTATATTTTTACAAATTAAAATAAAATAAAATAAACGAAAAATTATTAAAATAAGGAGGAGGACTAGAAAGAAAAATGATTGAGGAAAATTTTTTAAGGGTTTATTTTTCACGGTAGTGGAAAAGGGATGAAAAGGGGAAATATTTTTTTTTTAATTTTTTTTTATTTTATTACAAAATTAAATTTATTCTTTTACAAGTGTCCGGAAATGAGAAGGAATGAAAAATAATAAAAAAACCTGGAAAAAAATATTTTTCTCCAGTTACCGAAACGAAAAAAAATGGATTTTAATTTTTCCATATGATAAACATTATAAATTATTATAATGGGGAATTTGAAATTTTAAAAAAGCGCGCGCTAATTTTCTCCTCCCATTTTGTTTCTATCCCTTTCTCATTCGATTTATTTACTCTATGCTCAACTGAAATTTCCGACGTAACGAATTTTCGCTTTCAATGACTTAAAAAAAATATTTTTTTTAATAAATATATTTATTTAAATAACCGGGAAAAGAAAATATTAATAAAAAAAAGAATTTATTTATTTATTTATTAATAATAATAATAATTTAAAAAACAATGTGAAAAAAATAAATAATATGAAATAAAATGAAAATAAAACATCTAAGCGTCAAAATTAACAATAAAAACTGTGATATAGAAGATCTTTGGAATTTTTTTTCCCTCTCTAAAAATGTGGAAACATTTTTGTCGCCTTTTTTTTTTCATTTCAAATCGTTTTTGGATTTCTCAAGAGAGTAATTCTCTCTTTTCTTCTTTTTTTTTTTATAGTCCTTTCTCTCTCTCTCTCTCTCTGAGTCCTTTTTTTTTTCTATAGTCTAGTATAGAAGTTGCTTTTTCGTGTCGTTTTTTTTTTTTTTTTTTTCTTATACAGCTCTTAAATTTTAACAGTTAAAAGCATTTTTTTTTCTATTTTATTTTATTTTATTTTATTTTAACATCGAGTTTGAAATCGAATAATTCAAGTCATCAACTTTTTAAGTCTTTTACCAATTTAATCGAAAATAAAAACAAAACAAGGAAAAAAAAAAGGAGGAAAAAAAAAATTTTTTTCTTTTTTTTTTTTAACAATTTAATTTTTATGCATTGATACATTTGAATTCGAATTCGAAAAAGGTTTTTTTAACGGTTTTTTTTTATTTTTTTTTCTCTGGTTGTTGTTATTGTTTGTGTTTTTTTCAATTCGAATCAATTCAATTCAAAAAAAAAAAAAAATCACTCAAAGGAAACGTTATAATGAAGTTTAAATAAATAAATAAATGGAAACAAAAGGGGGAAAAAAAATTAATTTTTTTTAAAAAATAAATGTAAACGTTTTTTACGAAACGTGTCGTCGCATTTTAATTAATTTATGTATATATGTATTTATTTATTTATTTATTAATTAATTATTTAATATGTATTTTATATAAACCGAGACTAAATAAATAAAATTATTAAAATATAATAAAATTCGATTAACTGAAACGAATCGTCGGGGCACGAGATTAAATGGCGGGTTTTTTTTCCCCCCGCACCCTCGCCGATTAAAAATTACTTTATGAGAATTTATGTGGGGGGGCAATTAGAGTACAGGTACGGTGCATATTGAGTGCAAATTAATTACTACTAGAGTCACGTGACTATCCCTAATACGGGAAAAAAAAAATCGAAATAATAACGTTTTTAAAAAAAAATTAATTATTTTATGTAAGTTAACGATTTTTCTCGTTCCGTTTCCTTTTTTCCTTTTTTTTCCTTTTCCTTTTTTATTTGATTTTCATTAAATTTTATTTTATTTGTTATTAATTATTTTCGTTTTTATTTATTTATTATTAATTTGTTATTAAAATTCGCACCGTTATTTTTTTTTGTGTTGTTGTCGAAAAAAGGTAAAAAAATAATTTGAAAATTTTCTTCTTTTTTTTTCGTTAACTCGAATTCAAAATCCGTGAAAATAAATATTTTAAAAAAAAAAAAATTAAATTACCTTTTTTTCGAATCAAAATAAATAATTAAAGATAATAATAATAAATCCCTTTTGTTTCGTTTTCCCCTTTGACCTCTCCCCATCCCCTCCGCCTTCCAATTTAACCCCGGGGAGGTCTCCTCTTCAACATCATCAAATTTCGTTTTTTATTTATAACTTTTTTATTTTTTCTCTTTTCCGGGTTAGAAAATTAGTTAATTCCAAAAAAATAAAATAAAAAATGCAACCGGATGTTGTTTAAAAAGAAAAAGGTGTTTTAAACTGGAAAAACAAAAAAAAAAAC